TCAGGTGCTGTATGAGGGCCTTGAGAGACAAATTATCACCTAACGATTACAACTACCCTGAGAGTCAGGCACACATCTCCTGGTCATAGAATCAAAACTCAGACTGAACAACTTGTCTAAAATTGTCTCCAGACTAGATGGGACAACTACCAATGTGAGCAGTAGCCATAGAATGGGGTAGCCTGAGTCTATGAAAATAGCTATGTGTACAACGATGCTGGAACTGAGAAGTAAAACTGCTAAGATCTTTGGAGCCAGAAAAATGGTCAGTGACTCCCAGGCGTCTGAGCTTCTCACACTAAGCTTTTTACACTGTTGGACTATCATTTTGCTTTGATTTTTGTTTTGTTTTGTTTTTGTTTTTCAAGACAGGGTTTCTCTGTGGCTTTGGAGCTTGGCCTAGAAATAGCTCTTGTAGACCAGGCTGGCCTTGAACTCACAGAGATCCACCTGCCTCTGCCTCCCAAGTGCTGGGATTAAAGGCGTGAGCCACCACGCCTGGCCTTTGCTTTGATTTGATTGTGATTATGCCTTGGTATGAAATCCTCTCTTGGAATAAAAAGTATGCAGCCTTGTTTTATTTTTACAGAAACCCACAATTCAGAGACTGGTCTATTTTTTAGAGACACTTTGTTGTTGTTGTTGTTGTTTTTAAGTGACTAAACTTTTAAATACTGTGGGCCTTTTAAAAAGTTGGAACAGGTTTAATATTGTGGTAATGATATTAATATGAGATGTGGGGATAATTAAGAATGGAAAGGTTATAGTTTAATAGTTGTGTGTGTGTATATAAGTTTAGTTAACAAGGGGTCAATTGTGCAGGGTATGTTTTTTTGTCAAATTGACACGAATGAGGGTCATCTTGAAAAACAGAACCTCAATTGAAAAAAGATCTCTGTAATATTTGTTTATAGGCAAGTGTATGAGGACATTTTCTAGGTTAATGGTTAATGTGAGAAGACTCAGCTTAACGTGTCCAGAGCTACCCTTGGTATGTGGTACTGTGTTCTATCAGAAAACAGGCTGAGCAAGCCAGGGGGAGTATGTCAGAAAGTAACATCGCTCCATGCTTCAGTTTCTACCTCCAGGTTCCTGACTGGAGTTGCCGTAATCTCCCTTGGAGGTGAACTATTGGCTGAGAGTATAGTAGAAATAAACCCTTTCCTCCCTAAGTAGCTTTTGGCCATGGTCTTTGTCCCAGCAGTAGAACACAAACCTAAACAGAGGCAGACAAAGGTAAAAACTTATTTTATGCCACTGTGCACTTGGATAATCTGTATGGTTGTGGCGATGGCAACCTCAATGGCAGATCAATTCTTTCTGGCTCCTCTATTTGACAGAACTTCTAAACCTAACAGTATTTCTTCCTGTCGGTTAGAATTCTCGAAGGTGCCTTTTGTGCTATCCAATTTCAGAGGCTTTGTGAATAATTTTCTACATGGATGGGAAAGTTTCTATCTACCAAAACAACTTAGTCATTATTCAAAACCATTTCATTCGGAATTTGGGACATTTCATGCAGAATTAGGGCAAAAATTTATCTTGCAGAATTTTTGTAAACCTAATAAGCCCATCACTAATATAAATGAGCTCATAAGAGGGGCATTGCAAGTCCCTTAAAAGACCAAACTATTTTCAAGCCATTTAGAGACACCCTGTCATTAGGTTGGTGTGCTAATTACAAATCATTCTAATTGATTCAGTAGTCTCCCAGGACTTCCATAATGTACTAAGCCAACACTTTATTAGCCAGGCTGAGTTACTGGAGGTTCTTAAAGGCAAACAAAACTTAGTCAGTCTTCCTAAAAACAACATCAAATTAGAAATATCACAAATGCAGAGGGACCTTGTCCTCAGTCCTCACTCAATGAGGACACTCAATGAGTATTCATTTCAGTCTTTTGACTTTCTGGTTTAATGGGTATGAATATGAGACAGGAGAGAAAGTGGACTTGACTTCTTTGCTTACATCCATCTTGTCTTTGTTTGTAGAAGGCACCCATAGTTCATTCTTGACCAGGAGAAGTCCCCACTTTGTCCTTAACAATCTTGATCTCCCTGCCTTTGGACATCGCTGTGTCTTTATTGCTTGTCCATTTTGTTGAATCCACAACAGGAAATCAGCTCACTATATAACGATGAATGGATGGGGGGTGGGTGGCACACTTGTCTCAAAATAAGACAATAAAAAGTGTGACAGGTGTACAAGACTGTTGTTCAGCTGGTAGGGTGTGTGTTGAGAGAAAGAGAACTTGCATCAGGTAAGGCAAAGAGGTAAAGACTCCTGCTGTTATCATTTGAAGCTGCGGGTCAGCTAGGACCCAAAGTCACTTGTATCCCTTCAATTTTCACTCCTATTGGTCAACATGTACTTGTTTGTAAAATATTCCTCTTAACTATATGTTAAGAAGAAATCTTACATTGTATTTTTATTCACTTAAAAATTGCAATTATTCACTTAAGGAATCCCTCACATATGAAGAAACTGCCCTTTATGGATATATGTAGAAATGCCCGTGAATGCATATTGTTGTTGTTGTCGATCAGGTATTACTATATTTCCCTGTCTCCTCTTGGATGTATGGTCTCCAGGAATCACCTCCCAACTGCTAAGATCATAGACAGATGCCGCCAAGCCCTGCCTCACCACCTGTAAACTATTAAGCTTATATTCCATTTATTTCAGAACTAAAGGTTAAATATCCAGAATTCTGATATAAAATATTTATTGGGAAAAACATTTCAAGTTTCAGTATTGTCAATCCATTTAACATTTGTCCTTAGTCTCCATCTTCTCCACCCGCAATCCCTGGGAGCTGCTTTTCCATCTAGAATTAATCCCTGATCCTTGTCACTTAGGGTTCCCAGTGAGTGAATAGTGGGATCTAACATTCTATCAAGAACATCCCAAGCCAAGGAAATACAGAACCTGATTCTGGCTTGATGCAGGGAAAGGTGGCAGAATAATTCAATAACAAAAATCAAATATAAGGAAAATATGTAATTCTATACAAATAAGTACTTCCTCTTCTCCCTCCCAAAATGAACTTGAACTCACAATGAGTGACTTGAACAGATCCCACAGCGGACAGCTATGGTGACAGCCTCTGTGAAGAAGACTGGTCTCGTCCTGGATCTAAAATTGTGGTGACTTTCTGTTTCTGGATGTGAGTTCTGCCATCTGTAAGGTGTAGAGAAGAATTACTTCTCCAGATCATAGCAGAGACACTGGTTCCTTCTTCACTTCCACGCTCACAACGGGTACATCAAAACTCAAGCCCATATTCAAGCCCAGTCCGTCTTCTAGAGGGTTCTTGGGGAGCCACAGTTGGCAAACATTTTTACAGTTCTGGCAAGCAAGCAAGTCTGAGGGTTCTGGCAAATCAAAACTTAACACTTGTTAAAGCAGCAAGTAGAAGCTAGCCCAGACTTACCAGTGATGACGAGTAGAGGAATCAGTGTCCCCGGGTCACACTTTCTTGGATCTACAGGAAAAGACCTTGGAAGGGCCTGTCTAGCACACTGCCCTGGTGGCTCTGGGCCTGTTCTGAGAACCAACCACAGTCCTCCAGAGCAGCCTGCTCCTGCTGGCCAGTTTGGCATAACCTCTGGATCACCTCACAAGCCAGGCCTGGCCGTGCTGATCACTTGCATGGTTGGTTATCTTCAAGAACACAAACTAGACTCTGGTGCGCAGAAGGCTGGAAGAAGCAGAGGACTCACTCATACTGTCATTGTCGTTGCTAAACTATGTGAACATGTTTTTGGTTGCCCTAAGCCTCAAGAGAACTACTGTCCCGCAGTCCCTATCCAAACACTATTGAGAAACTATCAAAGAGAGAGATGGGGTTTTCTGTGCAGGGGTAGACATCTCAGGAACAGCTGTGGGACACCAATGGCGGCGAATCTCTGTCAAAGGATGATTCTGTGTCACGTGCAATGACGTGCTGCGTGGATTCCATGGGAAACTTGGAAGGGAAAGAGAGATGTGGGTAGGTATGCCTGAGAACTTGAGGATGGGTCTTGTCTCTGCATCCTTTGTACCCCTAAGCTCAACATAGCAAGAACAGCATTTTCATGGTGAATCCCAGGAAAACATTCTGCCATGCTTGCCCTAGTCCAGGAACTGTTGTCGGTAAGCTGCCACACACACACACACACACACACACACACACACACACACACGCACACAGAGCTTTCAACTAACCACACATGGAATTCTAAGAACATTCTATGGCCACATTGGACACGTTAGAAACCTCACATTTTCATGTGGACCCCTGAGATTTCACATTCAAACCTCTGTCTTGATCTTTGGACACACTCAGACTTAATAGCAGTGGGCTGTGTTTCGAGGCAGCTGGACTGGCAAGGCTGAGCGGCAGGTTGTCCTTTGTCATGAGCTCCTCCACCTCTGGTTCTGCCCTTGGCAAGCCCTTCGGTAGTCACCCTGATCACCTGGACACTGGTATTTCCAGGAATCCCCTAATCATTTCTTCGCAATTCTTTTGCCAGGATCAACTCATGGGTTCACAGGAACAAGCCAACAGGGTGGGCTAGACCAACAGGATGAAAAGCCATTACACATAAAAGGACTCCAAAGTCCACGGTTGACAGAGGGCATAGGGCATGCCCTGGATCAAAAATCTGCTCTCTCCTCCCCCCAGGAACTTCAATAATCAGATTTCCCAGCCCCCAGAATGTTCTGAGGAAACTTATTCCCCAACGTGGTTCAGATGTTTCTGCCTTTGTGCGGCCATAAAGGAATTGGATTTAGCTGTGTTTGGCTTCCCGGTTCTCTTACTGACAGCACTATTTAATGGACAAACAGTTTGTTTTATTTATCTGACAGGGTTTCTTCACATTGTTTAGGGCTCTCAGCCCTCCCCCGCAGATCATATTACAGCTTGTGCCGGTCCGACCCTCACCAGGGTTCACTCTAAATCAGATCCTTATCTTTGCCTCAGTGATAAATAGAGAGGCCTGGGAGCCCACAGCCAGGTTATTTATTCAGTGCCTCTGTGGGTCATGTTTTATACCGCCTGGGCTTCTTGTCAGGCCTTCGAGGATCCAGCTTAGGTTGCACTCAGGAACGAAAACCCAAGGCCCCTTAAATAATGTTAACTTAACAGCTGACATTTTTATGAAAAAGTCTGCGCAGATGCGTGCAGGAAAGGGGACAGGGCAGACAGAGAGCTGGAGGTAGGTCTCGGCAGGCAAGGATGTGTGTGGTGGGGGGAGCCAGTGGGAGAGCCAGCCAGAGCAAGCAGGTGTGTGTGGGGAGAGTGGGGGATGTTTGAAATGGTCTGAGAGAAAAAGGAGAAGCAAGGCTTTAGATTTTAGGTTTGTTCCAGGCCAGCAAAGAATATTCTGAGTTCGGGTGGGAATTTCTCTTGGAGGAATGTGTAAAAGAAAAGATATTGTGGGTGGGGCACAGTGCACCTCCAGAAGGTGAGGAAAGCAGGGAGGGAGTAGGGTGAGGTCTTGCACGGTGGGGGTTATATGGACAGGGGAAAGGAGAGGTAGTCTTTCTGGGGAGTCTGGGGAGTAGGCAGACAGAACCACTGGCTGGGGTGGGGGTCCAGAACCATTTGGCAGGGAGCCTTGCCCTCATCCTGGTCTTCAAATGCAAACTATCCGTGTTCATGCAGTCCTATCCCTCCACTGCACCCTGTGCACACACTACATGTGCTGCTTACCAAGAGCCCACATTTGACAGGCAACTGTGTGAACTAGAAATTGTCTCATGGCATTTCTTTCTCTTGAGTATTCCAGGGAGAGGAGGAAGAAGTAACAATGGCCTCGCCAATCGATTTCAACCTTCGGGGCCCTCCCTGGGATAGAGATCCCTCTCCAAAGAACTGTTCCAGGTTCTTCTTCTGCTGGAATTGAAGAAGCAAGGCATGGCCTCATTTAAAGGACCCCCACATGCTTGCCATCTGAGTAACAGTTCAGGAGACAGTTTGACCTGATTACTCTTGCAAAGATATCACCTTCACACACACAACACCAGTTGCCGCTCAACCTGCTGGATAGCAACTGAAAATGCCAGGTGCCTTGTTGGGGAGGTGGGAGGAGCCCCTTTCTGAGGCTTCCACCTGCTGGGTGAAAGGCCATGCAAACACGCCAGTGCATTATTGATGGGTTTGAAACATGGTTTTGTGATTGGAAGGGGCCCTGTCATGGAACCTGCTTAGGAGCTGTCCTAGGGGAGCTGGGAAGTGTCATTCGGTGCCATTGCCTGAAAATGCAGAGCAGGCAAAGAGGGAAGCCTGTGTGGGCCCTGACTCAGCCCCCAGAAGGTGCTGCAGCTTGGCTTGTCCGGGAGCGAGCATGAAGGGACGACACCTGCTGTTGGAGGAAGGTAGGTGGAAACGATCATCACCAGGGCAAGGGTGGGAGGGAAGTCACATGAGGACAATTGGAAAGAAAGGAGACCAGGTGCCCTTCATCTCTGGGAACCTCTAAAAGTGTTGATGGTTCTGGATCCTGAAAGAATGAAGTCGTTGTCAAGAGATGTTTCCACCATCTCTACTAACTTTGTCTAATAACTCTTGCACAGCAGGGACCTGGGGCCTGGCTCTGTTCTCAGCATGTTACACACATGGACTCCTGTGCATCTTCTCATATCTCCATGAACTAAGCTCCCCTATGGCATCACTGTCTTGTGAAGCTAGAATTGTGCAGATTAAGCAAGTTACTTGAAGTCACTTAGCACCCACATGAGACACAAACCCAGGCAGTCTGGCTCAAGTCCACAGTCCTTCTAAGAGGCTCTGGCAGCAGATAGATGCAAAGTGTTTGGGTTACCTTCCCAGGAGCCATGCTACAAAGAGAGCTGTGCTGTTCTTTGTTGTATTTCTCAGGGTTCATCTTTATGTTCTTCTCTTCATGGTTGGTGAATCTGCCGTGGTTTTATGATCTGCCATGGACTTCTGTCCCTCTTTCTGGTTCTCGCTTTTGCTTAGCCAGCATCCTTTCTCTGCACCTCACATCCCTGACTGCTCATCTGGCCAGGTGTGACTCCTCACATCCTGTTCTAGTGGTCCCCCAGCTCTTCCTTTTTTCTGTTTCCTGATCCTTGGATACCTTGAGCCTCCATTGTCTCTACAGAAAACAGCATAGTCACTGCCTAGTGAGCACAGAGAGCTATCCAGTGGCTAACCACGGGGAGAAATCATGAGTGGAATGCCTGACAACTGGGCAGGACTCCATGCCTGCTCCCTTGGGGCCTGTTCCTGCTTGCGACAATATCCTGGCACATTCTCTTGAAAGGAGCAGCAGCCAGGAAGACACAGACTAAAGGAGCTTTCTCTGAGTCCCCAGGAGTGTTTCAGCATGAGTGTAAGTCCCTTCCAGCTGCAGGGCTCTGCCCCTGGCATTTAAATAGGCATGCAGAAGAAAACTACTGGCAACAATAAAGATGGAAATGAATAGAACAGAAAATGTATTCTATAATTCCAAAGCAATGTTGTCCAGCTATGGCCAAAGATGGGGAAGAGACACGAAAAACAAGCAGCAGGGCATTAGTTAGGGCTTTGGAACCGGGTCCTTTTAAAAATCTATTTCATTCCAATGAGAATGGCCACCTTAAGACAGCAAATATTTCATGTTTCATCTTATACACACAGTCCAATTTTTTACATATATATATATATATATATATATATATAGTTAGAACTCATAAAAGTAGAAGGGACCAGTGGAAAGAGGGAGGGGGACAAGTTAAGATAATAGGAGGTGAGTGTGATTGAAGTATATTATATAACATGTATGAAGATGTCCTGGTGGAATTTATAATTTTGTACGATCAAATACATTCATAGAAAGGGGAAAGCACCTACTGGTGAGCATTGCCATGCACATGTGAGTGCAAACATGAAGGATAACAACATGGAGGCAGATTGGACTACCATCTAAGAGAACACTGAGCTAAGATAGCAACCCTGACCTGCTCTGCAAAAGAAGTAGGTGATCTCTGGCTAAATAGGCCTCGTGATTGCCCAAGACCTGACCTGAGAATTGCAAGAGTTGTCAACATCAGCATGATACGATACACTCGCTATAACCAGACAAGCCCTTTGGGCTTAAGATAAGCACCCCGTGATGTTGTATGGCATTTGGTATTTAGCAGCAGCTGAGTCAACATTGCAACATGTCATAAACATATTAGAACGCTTGTGATAGAAGAAAGACAAACTCATTTTTAAAAAAATCAAAAAAACAAGCCTATTACAGTCAGTGTCGTGATGTGAATCCCGTTCACGGTGAAATAATAGCCCATGAGCACTTCCAGTGTGCAGCATGTGACATTATTAAGTGCCTGGCACAATGCCCACACTGCTCGGGAGGCATGGGTGCTCAACAATATCCGGAAGCTGACTGATCTTATGAGTAAGCATTTGGGAACATGATTTAATTTAATATTTTTAAATATTTATTTATTATGTATACAATATTCTGTGTGTATGCCTATAGACCAGAAGAGGGCAACAGACCCCATTATAGATGGTTATGAGCCACCATGTGGTTGCTGGGAATTGAACTCAGGACCTCTGGAAGAGCAGGCAATGCTCTTAACCTCTGAGCCATCTCTCCAGCCCCGATTTAATTTAATATTTAATGTGTCTTCCTCTAAGTAGTGAAAAGGTAGAGGGCTACCTTACCTGAGGAAGATCTTGAGGTGAAGATAAGGTTTGAGACTCTTTGATTTGAGAAGTACTCTCAGGAAATGCACATAAGGAAGAGAGGTTTGCACATAGACAACTGTACTCAATGTCCACATGGGAAACCTCATTACAAATTGGATCATATAAGAAGCCAAGAAACCAGACTGTGAACTAGCTCTTGCCCGTCACTGGTAGAGGACTTGTCCTGCCAATGTTGAATGCCCAGCCCTTACTGTCTGTTTTAGCCTCTGTCACCAGAGGGATAACACCAGTAAAGAATCCTGAGCAGGTGGGGTGATTGCCATGGTGAGGTCATTGGAGCACCAACAAGGTTATCAATTAGTTAGCCTGTCTCTCTGGACCAAAAATGCCTCTGTGTTGTTGCCTAATATGGAACCTCATCACAGAATGCCATCATGTCTCTGTGTCAACCCAAAGTCATCCTCAATAGTAGAACCTACATCATAGTCAACAACCAATAGTCTTTGAATAAGAAGTCTGTCATTCAAATTTCACTCCCTTCAAGGAACACTGTGCGTTTTCCCCTACTGGTCCCTGCATGTTTTGGACTATCACTGTAGTCCCTAGTTCTTCATTTCTTCTTGTTAGGATGGAGACCATGCTCTTAACCTTCACTTGGTTCAGCAGCAAAACTCTACCCAACATAAAGTATGAGCTCTAGTCGTCTTTTGGCGAGGGGGGAATTGTCTGTATTCTGTCAATCATGTTATAAATAAACGCTGATTGGCCAGGCCAGGCAGGAAATATAGGCAGGAAAACCAGACAGGAAGTAGAAATGATGTAATGAGAACAGGAGAATTCTGGGAAGGAGGAAGTTGATTCTTCCCACTCCTACCCAGACCACTGAAGCAGCAGGATGTGATCTGCCCCACTGAAAAAGTACTGAGCCACATGGCTAACATAGATCAGAAAAATGGGTTAATCAAGATATGAGAGTTAGCCAGTGAGAGGCTAGAGCTAATGGGCCAATCAGCTTATAATTTATGGAGACCTATGTGTGATTTTTCTTTGGGGCTAAACAGCTGTGGGGTACCAGGCAAGACCAAAACCAACAACAACAAGCAAGCCCCCTCCATGTTACAGTCTTTGATATAGTCAGAAACAATAAATTTAATTTTCAGGTGTAGAAACAGGAAGCCTTTTGCTTCCTGTTTATGTGTCTGAGCATGGTAGCTAGCCTCCCCTTCAACAGCAGCAAAGCCAGTCCTGATTTGTGTGACATCTCTGCTTATGTATGTCAGTTCTGACCTTAGGTTGGGACAAGGGCTCTTATCTCTTGTACCCTTCTCCAACTCTTACTAAAACCAGTCAGAGATATTAAGTTAACAGATCAATATTAATAGGAACCCTTTCACAATCCATGGCGTTTGTGCTCTCATGGGTACTGACCCTACTAAAATTGACCTCAGAATAACCTACCAGCAGATAAAGACACAACCTACCAATAGGGAGAACCAGCAGATACCACAAATGGGAGAATCTGTTTTGGTGGCAGTAAAGACATCCCTGACCATTTGTGCCTACATAACTTATAATGACAGTGGGTTTATAGGTTATCAGCTCTGGAGGCTGGGAAGACCAACACCAAGCCCTGGAGGAATCTTCTTCCCATATCATCCCATGGAAGAACTTGTGACTTGCCTAAGAGCTGGGAATACAGCCATCTATGGACAACCCCTGCTAAGTCTCACCTTCCAGCAGTGTTACAATGGCAAGTGCACTTCAACAAGGGTTTTGAAGGAGAAAAATAATCTGTAACAAAAGAGAATGGAACGTGGAAATATCATTCCTGTATTCCTTCAATCTGAGGGGTAGGTTGTCTTAAAGGCCCAGACTATTTCTCCTTCTAATAAACAATGGCATCAAACAGTGGGTCCTCCATATGCCCCAGCCATATTCAACCCTATGCAATGGCTTCTAACTGCCCTTAGAATGAATATAAACTCCCAAGGTTGTCTTGAACGTATGGTCTCTGCCTTCCTCTCCAGGCACATCTAAGAAACACCAGTCCATTCCATCTCCCCACCGCTGCCACGGTCCTTTCTGATTCTAGAGTGTAAAGGGCTGCATCCCAACACAAGACTTGTGGCCACCAGCCTGCTCTATTCTGAAGCACAGGGTTGTCTTATACCTGTTCCCCAGAACTCACCTCCATCACGTCTTCCTTAGAAAGAACTTCTCAAGCTGCCTGCTGAGGTCAAGCCCTCTCCTACATTCATCAGAACTCCCGTGAGTTGCATTTACACCTTTATAGAATAACTTGATCAACTCAAAACACTTCGGTAGAATGTTAGCCCTGCCAAGCCTGAACCTGCACTGTTTAAACCTTGCTCAGCTTAGTACAGGCCTTGAGTAAAGGTTTCTTGGATAAATTATGCAATTCAAATGAGTCTTAAGTAAAGGTTTCTTGAATGAATTACATGATTTAATGAATCATAAGATTCAAACCTAGGTGGATTGAGTCACAGAGGCCCCTCTGTAACTACACGCCTTCTTCAAGGAGTCACCGTAGATTCTCCTACAGGGACCAGGCTTGGCCCCCTTTCCATGCCTTATTTGAATGTCTGCGGCTCAGGATAAATGGAAGGTCTATCTCCATGTTTTGTTCTCTGCAATCTCAAGTCCTGTATCACACCACAAAAGGATACACAAATACCAGCCCTTCTCTAGCCCTCGCATATAACAGAGAAGCTGCTGTATGTACAAAGCCAGCTGTCCAAACTGACAGCGTTAGCAAGCATCTCTAAGCATACAGAAAGACTGGATTAACTTGCTTGTCCTTGTGAAGACATCAATATTGTTCTGTCGCCGAGAAGCTGAAACCCCCAATAAATCTCCATTTACAGGCAAATTTGTAGATGCTAAGTGTAGTCATAATAATAGAGCTGTAATTCTTATTGAGCATGCTCAGAGTGGTGGACTATTTATAGCATCCTGTTCAATGTTACACACATGGGGACACAAATTACAAACTCTTAGAGTTTGGGGGGAAGTTTGTAAAAAAAAAAGGTGACAATAGAAATAAAATCTAATTTTGGGGGAATCATGGTGGAAAATTACTGAATTAGAAATCATTTTTATTCACTTCACAGATGGTCCAGACAGACTGAAGAGAAAAGATGGATGGCTTTCTTGAAAACGCAGCTAGTGGACTCTCAGGTACATACCCATTGCCAGTTCCTCCAGAGTTAGATGGAGTAAGAAATGTCACAGCTATATCATAAACAGAAAAAACAAATCTAGCCAACGCTTATCCACAGACTTCTCTTTCACCTGTACAACTGTAGTTCAGCCCAGCTCAGATGATTTGAATTTAGCAAGATCAGACCCAGGTGACAAATCATTTTCAGGTGCGCCTCATATCTTTGTGGCCAACCAATCCCCACAGCACATTCTTCCCGTGACAGTAGCAAAAGTCACAACTCAACACTGCAGCACTGCGGTATACTATCGCACCCTGACCCGTCCCTCTCTGATGTCCAGGAGGCCAACGTCAATCACATTATCAAATTTTAGCTCAAGAGACAGAAAGTGGACTCGACCATGATGCGGACAACGCAAAGGTCTAAATCTAACAGTTCATGGCGGAACATCTAAAAATCCATCCGACTGCTCTTACAAAATAACATAAGCTGACTGGCTTATGCACAGTAGAAATCCTGTTCCCACAATTGTCCATGTTCCCACCCACATACAGCTCTGTTTTCATGGACTCATTTGGTAAAAGGGACAGGGGGCAGGGGCTCAGGTCCTTTAACAGCAGCACACCTTTTATTCAGGAACGCTGTCTCAGTGACATTATCACCTCCCAGGTGTCTCAATTCCTAATGCCATCACCTTGGGGATGGGATTTCAAAACAGGAATTCCGAGTTTGTCATGTACATTCAGACCATTTCACGGAGAATGATTTTACAGCCAAAAATTAAATCTACTGTAGAAGGCCAGAATTTTTCAAGTTGTGATACACACTTTGTTTTGTTGTTTCTCCTAGATCCACACAGGTGAGGTGAGGTTGATAGTCATTTTATCTAGCCAGTTCTGATAATACTGGCAACTTCTTTTGGGGAAACTTCTTTTCCTCCTATATAACAAAAGTGAGGCCCATCTTACCTCTGTTTTTACAGAGAAACAAACCCAAAATATAAAGCCTGAGACCCATCAAATTTAGCTACACTTTTGTCTGTTCTGGTTTGCTCAGAGGTCATCATGTGACCTAGCACATGCCAATGAAAACGAAGTTTGGGACTTCAACTGTAACTGGACAGGCACAGCCCACTATAGTTTGGTTACGTCTCTGTGGTACACTAAAGACAGGGAGGCCTTTCTTTATACTATAGGGTGAGTCTCCTTCATGCTGGGTCCTGCCAAAGTCCCTCTGTCACTGAGTGACTTCCTATAATCTTAGCTCTGGAACTCAGAATGCTGGATAATCATCTCGAAAGCCTCACTGTTGTCATAGCAACATAGTTAAATTATAATGTTCTAAAATTTTTTAATGCCACCATTTAAATAGAAGCCGGAAATTTTTTTTAAACTGCATTAAGGACCAAACAAAAAAAAAAAGAGATTCCAAGAAAAGTAAATTAAATGCATAAGTGCTAACATTATTTGTGTTGGAAAAACAAACGTTGTGTGCCAGATAATAAGAAATATGAGTAGGTTGATAAAAAGATTGGGTATTTTTCTGTAATTGACTTTCCTGCTGCTCCAATTAATAGTGAATTTATTATGGATTCTGCATAGGACTTGGAACAGTGAGTCGTCTGTCTTGAAACCTCAGGGCAGATAAACATTTTAGGTGATTAAAAAAAAACACACATACACATTTAGAAAATGATGTTCTGGGAGCCTGGGGGAAGCAATCCACGCCATTCTTCACAAGTTCATTATAGAAGATGAATAAATGTCGAATTAACTTTGCTTCCTCTCATAGATGGCAGGAATAAAGGCTATGAACGCCCACTGCAAGGCGTGACTTGTTCTCCCTCAGCCCTGGTGGCTTATGGCAAAGGAGGCTCCCAGCAAACCTCTGGGAGTAGCTGGAGCCATATCCACCCCAAGGCTTCTGTTGTGTGAAGGACAGAGACAGGAGGGAGGAGGAAAAGAATGGTCGTGAGGACCCTCTCCACTTGCCCCCACGACTTCCTAATTCTATACCCTCCTGCCCAATCAGGAAAACCTGAGTCTTCAAAACTCAGGCACATAGAACTGCCTGCTTTATGGGCACTCCTCCAGCTTACCTGCTACCTGTCTTGTCACCTGTCACTGTTGGCTGTGACTGTCGCCTCATTCCTCCGCAGTAAATCAGCCCACCAGCGAGAAGCTGAAAACTGACTCATGCTTCTGAGACCCAACCGTCTAGACTAAGGGATGGCAAGTGGCAGTGCCAATCCTCTCTGGAGTAGGCCAGGAAGGCAGGTCTCACCACAAGAGGGGAGAGGGAGCAGGTGACAACTTCTCAGCTGCAGCCTGCTTCAGTCAAGAAAACCCTCCTCGCTTCTGCAAAGTATGTCCGAAGACTTCAAGTCACACAGCAAAGAATATATGGGGGGCGGGGGAGGATTGGAATTCAGTCTGCTGCATCTACTTTCATAGGCATCCTTGCAATTGTGTATTTATTTATTCGTTATATACTATAGAACTAGTAGGCAAATAAATATTTACTAGCGAATAAAATAAGTGTGGGATCCAAGTAATGTAGCCATGGAAGACATGTGAAGTAGATCCCTGTCACATGACCACAGCGACCCGGCTAAACAAATAAAATAATCGGGTACTATGTTGCCACCATAAAGTAAATGAATTCGTGAGATGGGAAGTGGAGAGGCAAACTTGGAGAGTGAGAGCGAGTGGTCAGGGAAGCCAATGCCCCATTTCATCTGTGTACCCCTGACTCACATAAGCAGCCAGACCTGGGAAGTGCTAATGTGCACCGGCTATTGTTTGCTAGTTAAAGCAGGAAGCCATGGGACAATGGATAATGTGTCTAGCTTCAGATGGAAGATTCTAGGTGTCAGTGCTAGCAGATATTGATTAAGCCTAAAGAATAAAAAATATTAAAAATTGCCGGGCAGTGGTGGCATATGCCTTTAATCCCAGCACTGGGGAGGTAGAGGCAGGCAGACTTGGATCGAGTTCAAGGCCAGCCTGGTCTATAGAGCAAGTTCCAGGAAAACCAGAGCTACACGGAGAGACACTGTCTCTAAATAAATAAATAGATAGTTATTGCAGTAGGGATTTAAAGAGATACAGTTGGCTCTCAGGGACACAATCCTTGGGGGTGGATTAATGTAGATCTTCAAGAGTGGGATAGTTCCTCCAAATGAAAGTTGTTTAAGAAAAAACAGAACTTATTTCGTAAAGGGAGATTTCCCTCTCTCTCTCTCCCTCTCCTCTGCCATACAACACATTTTTACTGTGTCTTCAGGAGCATTGTTAGATACAAGCACAATGCTGTTTGGATCCTCCAACCACCACAATCTTGAGGTGAATGAACCACTTTATCTATTACTCAATATCAGGTATTCAATTATTGCACACACACATGCACACAAACACACATACACAATGGATCAAAACTCAGAAGTATTAAATTTATTGTCAAGGACAAAAGAAAAGTGAGAAAATGAAGGATGGAAGGGAGATAGGAGATGTAGGTGGCTAATATGCCTAAAATAGATGTGTTAAACACATCATGTGTGTTGGAACAAGCTACCTACCCTTTCACACAAAGCATTATGAAAGAACAATAGCATGTGAAGAAAAGGTGGGAAGTACATGTCCTGGCTGGTCTTATCAGAATTTAATATCACATTTTATGGGGTTTTAAAAACAGAACATAGTGTAGGTTTCTTTCTAGTAAGGTCATAAAAATGTAGTAGCAGAACTGACATTCTTTGGAAGACTGTGGGCAAAATAAAAACACTAATTGCATATACTTCCATCCCTCCTTGCTTTCACCCATTCTCTCTCTCTCTCTCTCTCTCTCTCTCTCTCTCTCTCTCTCTCTCTCCCTCTCCCTCTCCTTTCCTCTTCCTCCTCTATATAATCTCAGGGATCCATCCGAGAGCCTCATAAATGCGAGGAAAGCATCCTATCACTAAGTTACAGGCCCAACCTAACAGAATAAAATAGAAAGAAATGCAGCTCTTTGGAAGAAGAGGATCAGAGAAGTAAAATAATAAACTTGAAATCAACTGATTCTAGACTGCAGCCCTGTACCTCATTTTCTGGATAGTGAAGTTTCACTCCACTGAGAATGTTAACTGGGGAGTGAAGACAAATTATGTTCGAGGCTGAGTATTCATTTTTTCCATTTTTTATGACCCAAAGTTTTTATTTATTCATTTTTTTGCACTTGAAGTACTGAAGAAGGATGCTAAAAAGATATCCCATACTAGCTCAGAATTGAGAATAATAAAAGGTTATTTATTTAGGGGTAGACTCACAGATTACAATCCTCTGCACAAATGGGGAACGGGTAGGGTTGAGAGACTTTCTGGGCTGTTGACAAGTTAGGCCTTTAAGCCAGTACACCTGGTAGGTATGGAGTTCGGATCTATGTGGGTGCCAGATGAAGAAGAACACTAAAAAGAAATCCCACACTAGCTCAGAATTGAGTATAATAAAGGGTTATTTATTTAGGGGTAGACCCACAGATCACAATCCTCTGCATGAATGGGGAACAGGAACCAAATCACACTGCCAGAAGAGAAGCCAGACCCACATTTTACATCAGCATATATAGTATAAGAGGCCATGCTCAAGTGGACAGGTAACTTAAAGGCTACTGGCTATAGTAATTCCTACAGCAAAGTACTCCTCAATGGCATCCTCATCCTGAGATTCTTTGCCATAGCCCTTAACCTCTACACAACTACAATCAATCACTTTCTGTGGCTTCCCCTCTGGACCAATTACATAAAGGCCTGGCCTTCCTATTCCTCTAGTTTCTTGTTGCCATCAACATTAATTAGGTTGATTTGGTGCTCAGCACAAAGTGTCTCCACCAACTTGACATACATAAGCTCATCACACCTGGATGCAAGCAAAGATGGGCTTGGCACTTGTCTAAGGCTTTGGCATATATGCCACATGCTAGGCCATCATGGATGAGGGCAGTCTTCAGCACCTTTTACAGAGTATTGATGTCCATGAC